TCCATTTCATGAATGACTTTCCAGTGGATAAGTCAAAGGAAAACCAGACTCCTTTGTGGGAAGAAGGTAAAAACTCGGCTAGGGAAACCAATCAAGTGAGGACTTGAGCCCTCCCATCCCTAGATGCAGGTCTCTGCTATTTTTAGCCCCCTTCCCCAAAAGCGAGAGCCTCTGACTTGAGTTCACAGGATGGAACCCGATTTAACGCCCCACTCGATTAAGCACCGCAGATAGAAGCAATTTTTAATATTGATTGCTCTCCAATAAAAGCCACAACCAGGCAGGCACCTGTTGTCAAATAGGTAGATAGTACTTTTCCACCAAACAAATCACTGTCTACTGAATAACGCAATCGGTTTCCTCAATACTTTTCCTCTGGATGGTGGTTTATCTGGTGGATAAGGAGTATCCCTACTTTGAACAAGGGGACAGAGAAGGATGATTATTAGTGCGGCGTTTATTCGCTGAGGCAAATAATCGTGTAAACTTTCACAAGATCTTTAATTGCCATCAAAGGGAAACAGTCAGCAAGTGATTCGTATCTGGCATATGCGCATTAGATACCATTTTGAGCTGATTTGCGTATAACACAATTAAGATACGCGATTTATACTGTTTTATTTATTATTATCATTATTAAGTAAGACATAAAATAATGTTATAGGATGATTAAAAGAATACTAAGGAACAGGTTTTCAGTACAATGTCGAAGATCGAAGCGAAGATTGAAGCTGTTTTCTAGATGTATTGGAATCGAAGCTGCTTTATACGAAGGCGTTTACCTGCAAACTCGACTGTTCGCCGTAGATTACCGTACCTGACTGGGTAGTGCAGGAGAGCTTTCTTCGAGAAGTTTTTTCAGTACAAATGGGGCCACAAAACCGAAGATACCCCATAATATAATTTTGCTTCTAGCAAAACAAAGCAAACCGAAAGGTAACATTTCCTGTATAACCGCCCCCGTAAATTTATCATGCATACAACTCAGTGGTGAGAAAAAGTAGGAAATTGTTGAATAGTAGCACAATTCCGGTAGCTTACAAACCAATCAATTTTGCTTCGTTAAGTGATAGTTTCTTCGTATTATTTCCAAAATTGTTGAAACTTTGATCTTCAGAATGCAAATACGGCAGATGTAACGCAGCTTTCTGGGCTCGAAAATTACCGGATCTTTCGGGCGAGAAACGGGAACTCTAGACAGGCTATGGGTTTGCGGTATTGCGGTTTTAAACAATTATTTACGCCCCAGAGCTTGTTGTTAACAACTAAAGCTACTGTTAGAAACCCTGAATAAGCCATGACTTTCTTTTAATAGAACCAGCCATAATAACGTCCGTGCCGATAAAATCACTCTTCGAATCAAAAAAATTAGGATGTTTTTAACAAGCTGGTAGTAGCCGGATGTTCCGTTAATGTTCTAAATATACTGCTTTGAAAAACACGTACTCAGTTGTTCAACGCTAATCCATTTTATAAATAACCTTCCAGTGGAAAGTCCTAGAAAAACCTGAGTCCTTGGAGGCCATGGGGAAAAGAGAAAAACTCAGCGAGCGAAGCCAATCAAGCGAGGACGTGAGCTCTCACATTTCCCTCGCCGTGTCTGCTTTTTTTAGCCCCTTTCTCCAAAATGGAGGGAGAGCCTCTCACAGGATAATAAACATATGTGGCCTACCATAACTCTATTTAACGCCCATCTCGATTAAACGCTGTGGATGGAAGGAAATATACTAATAAATATCGATCGCTCTCGAATAAACACCGCACCCAGGCGAAGCAGCGCGCGCCTGTTGTTGAATAGGTCGAATTATCACTTTTCCACCGAATAAATCACTGTCTACTGGATAACGCAATTGGTCTCCCGAATACTTTTCATCTGGATAGTGATTTATATGGTGGATTATAGGGAGTATCAATCCTTTGAACAAGTTGCAGGGGACAGAGAAGAATGATTATTAGTGCGGCGTTTATTCGATGAGGCATAATTAATGTAAACTCCCACACGATATTTAATTTATCAAAGGGGCACAGTCAGCTGATGTATATGCGCATTAGATACCATTTCGTAGCTGATTTGAATATCACAAGTAAGATACGCGATTCATACTGTTTTTAATCAAATGCAGCTTAAAATAATGTTATAGGATAATTAAAAGTCGAAAACTTAGGAACAGGTTTTCAGCAAAATGTAGAAGATCGACGACTTGCCAAGATTGAGGCGAATTTCTACATATTCGAAGCTTAATATTTGATTTCGGGTCAGAGGTCATCACTTTTCAAGAATTGTATCAGTGATCTTAGCTTAAGATCCGATGAGATATTCAAGCCCCAAACTTACAGTGCGAGCTGTCGTATTTGAATGACCACTAGTAATGAGGAAGACGTCTCAGAATCATTTTCGTTTGCATTTTACTGCTAAAACACCATCAGATTCACTTGATACACGCGGCATTTTAATATTAAATACTTCCGCATGCGAGTTCACGGACGGCTGAAAACCACAACCCGCAAAGCGATAAGAAAGAGATCTTGACAAACGATCATGATCAGGACAAGAAATATTTTAATTCAATGAAACATTTAAAAGGACAACATTTTTTTATTCACGAAGAAGTGTAATGTGAGTGAAGGTTAATTTGTAAAAACCAGAGTTATTGTGGGCTTGTTCACGCAACTCCGCAAGATTACCCTACCAGTTTCGTACGAAACTGTTGTGTTACTGAGGAGAAATATTTAACAACAAAACTACAACTTTAAAGAGTGAAGAATTTTCTCTTGCACTTGTATGACAAGTATGCTGAGCAGGCGTAAACAGGCACGCACACAATTTCTAGCGCAAATTTTTTAATGACTTAAATCAGTAAGTAGAGTTAAGATAAGTTTCGACAGCTCTCCTGCACGAGCCAGACAGGTCCTTCATATAAGAGGATCACGAAAGCAGCGCGATAGATACTGGCCTCCGATTATTTTGTACCCAATCATAGACAAGCATTCGAATGAGTCGTGGAACTGGTTTGTTAAGAGTAGCATCCCAGGGACTCTCTCTCCTGTTCTTGAAAACTTTCGCCGCCTTTTATCACGACCCGACTGACAGTCCCTGGGTCTCCGAGGACGTCCTAGCGGTTAAATAAACTGAAACAATAGGATTCTGATAGATGTGGTAGAATGTCATCATGTGCAAATTACCATTGAACAGATCTTTTCCCTGGCTTTACAATATATTACCTAACTATAAGAAGCTAAGGTAGCCTCAGGTTCTTCAAGGCTAAATTCTAAAAGCGTGTGTCTGTGACTGTCTCATTATCGGTTTCCATCTTGGGCACTGCAATATAGATACGCATCACCGTCATGAAACACATCTTAGGACGAAGCATTAACATCTCAACAACATTTACAAAGAATGTAATAGATACAGAATGAGCTGGACAAATACGAAGCTCACGGAATTTCACGATTTAACAGGTTAACAATTCAAGCCTGGAGGGGCGGGGAGAGGAGGGGTTCTTGAGGAATTTTTGGGCGAGGATGCGCCGCTGGGACCCTGGAATCCTTAGCCTATACCAGAGCTAGTTCAGCTGAATTTTGCTACCCTATCTTAGACTAAACTCCCCAAATCGCTCCCTGACCTAGAGTAGCATTTAGGCTGAGTTGCGTAATCTAAACTTGCCGATTTGATCTTTTTATATTTTTGAGACTAAAATGTTCAACAAATTGGTACAGTTTCCAGGAAAATGATACCCTATTCTAGACCCAAACTCTTTAATTTATATACCCTATCCCAGAGTAAACTGCTTGAAAACCATACCCTTTAGAGCGGCACATACCTATACAGCCCATATATGGCATGGCCCCTCTCTCCCCCTGGGAACTTAGGTCACCGATCGTCCCAGCTTGGCTCTTCAGCCTTGAAAAACGTCATCTTGGCACTACGCGCATTTTCTTATCAACAAAATGTCCTTAACAAACCGTTAAAACTGTTTCAGCCATTTCACTGATCATGGCGAGGCGAGTACATTTACATGCCCTAATGCTGGCAGACAGACCTGACACTCACCATTTTGATTCTTTACTGTTTGTGAAACTTGAAGCAGGAGAACAGTTAGAACACAGATGGCAGCGAGAATTCCTGGTACGAATGAAAAAACGTGACGGACATAATCCCCACAGTCTTTACAGTCTTCAGAGTTGCTGAAATGAAAATGCCGAAAACCAACTGCTTGCTTGTATCGTATATCGACAAAAAACTTAATCTCTGCTTTCTCTTAGTCATACTTGATTAGGAAATAATTGTACGGGGGGTGGAGGTGGGAAAACTATACGGGAAGGCTCCGTCCGAATGGAAGGGTGGGGATCTTACTAGCTGAAGTACATCGGAAGGGAAATCTGACATTTCGGTCTGTATAAAGATCCAGAAGGGCTAACAGATGCATTTTGTAGCTGTGAAAAAAAAAACAAAAACAAAACAAAATAAAAAAAAACACAGACGCTCCAGCTTGAGGCAGAAGCTGCCATGTTTTAGTTTGCGCGCGCTAATAGATCTCTTTAGCTGGTATTTTTTGTTTTTCCAATACAGGTCAAGTGGTAATACTCTACCAGAGAATTTTTTTTTCGTCTTATTCACGCGTGCATATGTAGGCATAAATTATGAAAAGACCAAGGGTGAAGTTCCCTTGGGACCTCTATTGGGTAGACAAAACAAACAAGCTAAAGGGGTCTATTACGCATGAAATTATACACAGTAAGGTTGCGCAGCGCAATACCAAGGAGGGCGACAAGAGGAACCTTCAATCCTAAATCTCCCGGTTGCTATAACACGTGTACGGCAACTGTGTAGTCAGCTTCTTCGTTTGAACTTCCACAAAGAATGAATGTAATGCACAGAACGCAAGCCGATCAAGCGCGTTTGGGGTTGGGATCAAGAGCGTTTTGACCTTGGACCGTTATCACCCACACTTATATTATTGGTTATATTATTACTAATTAATAGCTTTTTTAATATTAAGTTACCTTTCTTGGGGGAATAGTTTCTGAATAATACCGAACAATGAACCTCCAGTCACACTTGCCATCAAACCCATAAAAGCAAACACGACGCCAGATGTGCCCTGCAAATTCAAAATTTCTCAAGTAGTAATGTGAAGACCTAAAAAGAGGTTTTTTAAATGAAATTCAGACATCCAAAAATTTGCTGAGAAAGCGAAGGACAGGCGCTGAAAATTTTCTTGGAACTCACAACTTTAGAACCTAAATCTGACGTTCCTCAAATCGATTTTGGTTCGAGTTAGCGCGAGGTTCGAATCATCGGGTGTCGAATGTATTTATAGCACGTCACTTTACAATGCTATTTATTACGCCGTTTAAATGGTCGACTCTTGGGTACTAAGCCCCGGTTGTTCAAACGCTCAATTTATTAACGCCATCCACTGGATAAATCGCTATCAAGCAGATAAGTATTAGGGAAACCAATTGCGTTATCCACTGGATAGAGATTTATTCGGTGGAATTAAGCACTCTCCACCTTTTGAAAAACTTTGGGCCTACCTACTGAATGGTAGTTTATTTTTTGGCCACATTTATTAGGAAAACCAAAAGGCCATTTCCGAGTTCCAAAAATCTCAGTTTCAAAGCGAGGCTAAGTGCGAAGCTATCGATATGAAATGATTTTTAATTATGATGCAAATAAAACTCATTTTCACAACAAAGGTTTCGCACTTAGCCTCGTTTTGAAAGTGAGATTTTTTGGAACTCGGAAATGGCCTATTGCACTTAAACCAGGGGATAGAGATTTATTCGGTGGATAGCACTATCCGCGTTTTTTAAAACAGCTATAGTCTGATGGAAGCATTACTAAGTAGGCCCTATTTGAACTTGTAACTTTGGGCGTTATAATGTTGAGGCACGTGATAAGCTCACCTTGTTGTCCCCAATAAGTTCTGCTGCAAAGCTAAGGGCAGTAACAAACATTAGGGAAAACCCAGATCCTAGCAAAACAACTGCAGGATACGTCATCACTTTGTTGGACTGGGTTATGAAATAAAACCATACACCAGCTCCAATCACGAATAAGGCAGATAGAGTAAGCGAATTCTGAGGAGAAAGAAAATCAATTAATGGTAAGTTAAACTACCCCCTTCTTATTTAAGGGACTGTCGTTATGATAACAAATAAAAACTCTACACAACAGAGATATACATCTCCGTTTATATGTTAAAGCCAGAGATCATAGGCCACCATTTTCTCCATTTGTTGTCTCCGCCTCGCTTGAGCGTTCTGTTTTATGAAAGCGAGTCTTCTTGACATCAACGAGATCAACGGATTGTTTCGCATGGTCCGCATATAATTACTAAAAATAACTCTTTCGAAATTAAGGTATCCCCGCCAAGGTCTCTACTAGACTCCCTCTCTAATTATTTTCTCTTGGTTAAGGATGGCATTATGTCGAAACATAGAAGGCTTCTTGTCCATATTAAAGGAAAAAAAATATTGCGCATTAGTGCGTTGTGTCAACACAAGAGAATTTTTAACAACGCGATTCCGACGTGGCAAAGGACAGGACACACAGGTACTTCTTACGAAGAGTAAGTGTTTTCCACGTGCCTGTACATGATGACGAGGGTCGAGTGCTTTTAGGCCCGTAAAGCGTTGTCGCGATATTGTGCCAACAATCTAGGAACCCGGGGAAACTCCCTCTAATAGTCTATACGAGAAGATTTCGGGTTAAAGCAGTAGCTGCAAAGGCGGATCCAGGAGAGCCCCCCCCCCACCGTCCTATTTTTAGACCAAACTAAATTGCAAAGGGCCGAAAAAATTTTTTTTGTTCACCGGGTCCCCCCTTTTCCCCTTTTCTAAGAATCTGGATGACCGCCCCCCCGGTTCCCTCCTCCCGGCTCCCTCTTATCTCTTCTGTCTGGATCCGGCACTGTAATGAAAGGGTAGGGATTTTACAAGTTGTTGTATATGAAAGGGTAGGGCAATCTGTCATTTCAGTTTCTAAACTAAGGACCTATAAAAGCTCACTGACGCGTCTCATGGCTGTGAAAGACTAGGAACTTCCTGGTTTATTTAAGAAGACGGTGCATTTGCAGCAGATAATGGAAATGCAGTGTTCTAAACTAGATATATGAAAAGGGTACCATTTTTCCACAGAAGCCTCCCCCCCTCATTCCGGTTCTAGGAAAAGTGCTCTCCTTAACCCCTGCCCCCCCTCCCGTCCCCTCCCCCGCCTCCACGCGTTTCCTCCCCCTGGACCCCTTCCCATTTTACATACATATTCGAACCTCTATTGATTTCTATTTTTTTTTAGCAGTAAAACACATTGATACGGACGACTGGTCTAACCTTGTTTCCGATTATTTTAACAAGTTTCTTTGAGATTCCTGAGGACACTGTAGCGCTGATCAACATCACAAGTGGCAGATATGCAATCGCATCCTGAAAAGGCAACGTGAATGATCGATAACATAAAGATTGTCCTACTGCAGCTAATTTTGACAATCAGATTTCTTATCTTACGCCGGTAGCTTGAAACCTGAGACAAGTCCGCCCGTGCGCTTACTTCGCCTTCCTTCCCTCCACCGGTGCTCCGTTTTGCTGGCTATTTACAGCCTCTAAAGCGACACGGAAATTAAAAAGGGAAGAAGTCGAAAAAAGGATTTGAGGTTACAGCTGGGAATCGAACTCGGGACCTTCCGCAAGGCAGGCCAGGCATATTAAGTACTTGCGGCGTTTTAACCAAATGCTTGCAGCACTATTATTGATTACTAGGTAATAATGTACCCGCCAATGCACTTATAATAAGAATAATATAATAAGGATTAAACCATTAAAACGTATAGCACTTTAATATAGTCAACATGACATGGATATTTTCCATAGAGATTGCATAGAAAGACACAGGGCCACAAAATAGTGATGGCCTGTGAGGCCTGAAGAAAAACACATTAACATATGTACACTCACCTTTCCAAAGTCAACTCTGTAAATAAGAAACAGTGGCAGGTACGCATAGGCAACGTCTTGTAAGACTTTTGTACAAGTGAATATGATTGCAACCTTAATGTATGAAAAAATGAAATAACCAGTTACTGAAGATGATTTAAAATTTTCAAACAATGCTTTGTGCCTTGAACATACAATAGGGTAAAATAAACAAATAAATAAATAAATAAATAAATAAAATTGCATATAAATCTACCTTGCGCATGCCAGGCTTCATGGATATACGATCACTTGCGCATTGCAGTAAGCGTACATTATATAAAAGCAAATAAAGTACCAAAAACTAATTCACATACTAAATGAAATTAAGGGTAAAAAAATTTAAAGACTATAATCACCATATAAAGACGTGGATCCTTGAGCCAGGCTCTTATTGTATTAGGCGGCAGAGCAGATTCAGGATCGTCTGACACAGCTGACAGCCTTTTGCAATTACTCGTATTTAGTGCGTCTACATTTATATTTGTGGTTTCAGGATTTGGGAAGCTAGGACATATTTCCGTTTCACTGCACTCAAGTCCTTTATTGTCGACACCAAGCCGAGAACTGGGGCAAGCATGGGAAAATTTGTCTTCCGCTTCTTCTTTCCTTGAGCCGTTAGAACCACTCGAGCTTTTTAGCACTTGAATCTCTGTACACGAAAAGGGCCTTTTATTTCCATTACATTCCCCTGACTTTTCGACGGTGACTTTCTCGGATACTTGTCCATCTCTATCGGTGTCTAACCCCACCAGACCGTAGACAATGCTCAAGAGAACGCTTATTTTCCGTTCTTGTGGTAATTGTTTGACATCATTTAACACTTCGTCATCATTTTGGGTCCTTGAGTCAGAAGAAGGAGATGAATGTACTTCTAAGCCCTTGGAAACTGTCCCCATCTCTGCCTCGTTTACAGAAGGGGAAGCATCGTTTCCGTTATTTTTCTCCTCTTCATCTTGAGCAAAAAGGGCGCTGATAAAGTGCCTTGCGAAACTTTTTTTCCTCGCAGGATTGCCTTCCTCGGTGACCGAGTCTGTAGACTTTAGAGCCTCAAGGAACCTGTCTCGAATAGATTCCTTCTCATGCGTATCTGTAGAATATAAATCATTGAAAAAATAAAAAAGAACACCAAAATATTTATATACTTAAATTTGATTTTATATATATGAATCTAAATCAAAATTCATTCTCAGTTTATATATCTGATGATACGAAACTGGTGCCAAAGCTTTCTTCGTGGTCACACAACATAATTAACAAAGCAAAGCCTAGCTGTCAAAACACCTTTAAATTATTTATTTGATAATTGTAAAACAATGGCAGACACCATCTTACCTGTTCCCATGAAGGTCATCGACTGAACTAGGAGATTTGAAGCAATGTAAGAGGACTTTCTCTGTGATAAATTAAAACAGTTAAAGAGATTAGCATATTGTTGTGGACTTAAATTCACCCATGCATTTTTAATTAGCTCGTTTGGCGTCTTTTTAACCCCATTCAGAATGGGCTTTTTTAGGTTTCCTGGAACCGTGGTGGGAAAGGGGAGCTTGGAGATCATCCTCTATAACTTTAAAACCGCAATTTAAAGCCACCAAATTTACACAACATATATTATGATCCTGCATAATGTTATCAGCGTTTTAAAATCCTCCTATATTTTTATTGTTGCAAAGGCGAAATGACGTCATTATGACAACAAATTGTTTAATACATTGGATGAACTCACATATAAAATTCTTTCCACTAAAAATGCTAAATAAATTGTAAAGTACTATAAAAATCTAAAATAAAATACTTTTTTTAGTAGAAAAAAGGTAACAAATTTTTGCTAAACTTTTGGCTGTAATAAATCTCGGTTTCCGGAAATGTTTCCGGGAATTTTTTATTTTTACTTTCTTATTTTTTAGCTATGCTAAGTTTGTCACAGCTTCAACGGTTTTAGAATTATTCAATTTTACAGTGCAAGTCGTTGTATCGCGCTGTGCGTTTTGCAACATTCGACGGAATTTGGGGTTTTTTTATTCCGTCAATCCTCTTGGATTGGACCTCTTAGGAAACACATGTTTACTTGCACGAGCTCAAAAGGTCCTCGTTTGTGATTCGTGATTGGTGGCTTTCGATCCATTTGTTTGTTTCGTGTTTCAAGGGCGTTGCTTTGTGAACGTCCTGTTTCGGGCAATAATCGACTAGTTAAGTTTGCTTCGCAGATTTTCTGATCTTTTTTATTCTTGTCACGTCTGCCTCCTTCCTTCGACAAAAATTCCACTCACCATAGCGACTTACCTTGATTTTTTGTTTCGCTATTCGTGGGCAGTCTAGAGTCATTCTCAGCCAGTGCAAGCTGGGCGAGCAAGTGACATTTTGATTTGCATTAACCCCGCCTTCACTCAAATGATTAACGAAACAGAAAAACCCTAAATCCCTCCGAAGTTCTCAGGGTGCGGCGCAATACAACGAATTTCGCTGTAATATTGAGGGTATTCTCAAAATTCAAGTTGCACCCTTCCCCTGAACCCCGAGGGTTTAGAGGCTTATAACTTATGCATTTAGATGTAAAGTATATACAAGCTATCAAGGTTATTTTATTATTAAATGATCATATCTGGCTAATTATTTTCGCATTGCTTTCTGCAGCTGTGTCTTTTAAAATTCTGACAGTTTTGGTTATACTTATTCACTAGATAAAAACTATCTAGTTAAACTACTTGATAATCTACTACTCTGAAGACAGAGATCTTTGTCACTGTAAAGCTGGTATGTATTAATAGAGTAACAGATAAATAAATTTATTGCATAGTCCCTAGGCCTCATTATTCCTCGCGGCTAGTGCGTTTCGAGTCACGTGGTCAGAGCGAAGAAGTGAGGCCTAGACAAAAATTCTCAGAAGTGATGCAAAAGTGAAAAAACTCATGCGATGGGTTTCGAGACCAAAGTTTCGTATTTCAAGGTTAAAAATGTACCGTTAAAAGACACAAATGGGAAGGGAGTGTTCAAAAGAATGTTCAGCCAGTTTTTTTTTTTTTCAGTGGACAGAGGAAGGCTTCTCGTTACAAAATTGTCCTTCGAGGAATTTGAGGTTTTTCTTCACGGCTGAGCTTTTTGCCTGTTTTGAAACACCGAGCAGCGAAGTTTTTAAGAATTTGCGATTCGCAGATAATGAATTTTATGTGAAAGGGTAATTTTTTCTGATTATTTAAGATTTGCACTCTAGATGCTTTAAGTTTATTACACACGGTGTCAATGAAGTATCCTTTTTGAAGTGAAAACTTTGAAAATTAGCGCGAAACATATTTAGTTGGAATGAAAAGTCGAATGATAAGATTGAAGGAGCAGAAATCAATCTTCACAGGACTGAGTATGAATGTAAATTCTGATGGCTTTTCAAAGTCGACAAAAGTCGATCTACAAACTATTTCGCAAATATCTACAAGGGTTTTTTCAATTATCAATAATTGCCTGCTGTTTACAACGTCTTGCGCTCCAGAAAGTCCGACATTTTCAAAAGGCAACGCTCGCATGCGCATTCTGTTTTTGTGTAGGCGCTTCCCGCGCGTTCGCCTCGGATACGTCACCGAAGGCAATTGGCCGAGAAGGCTTGGGAAAACGCCGTAAAGGGACTAGGCAAGATAATTTATATCAGAGCTCTTGCGCGCGCGGAGCGCATGCAGCCGAGCACCATGGGTAAGAAAATTTGTTAATCTAAGCATCTAAGAAATTTTGGTAATCACGTGATCATACACACGCCCGCCCACACCACAGACATACCAATGTAAAATAAGTCAATTTACAGGTCTGGCAACCTAAATGCAACACGAGGGGGCATAACCATGCGGAATTTTTAGAGAGAAAACAACAATAACAAACTGGGTCGAGTCCGACTAAATTTTAATGTCTTTACTGACGTGGATAACAGAGAAAGAGCTAAAAAACAGAGGAGACGAATTTTGTTCAAAGAAAAACATGAAAATTGGTGGTGAGAAAATGAGAAATGCTAACGGGCAGCAAGGTGAAAATAGACGCCGCAGTGAAAAAAAAACGAACAGGAACACAAGCAGCAAAACCTTTGGTGAGCACATACGACATTTCCTTCATAAGATATGTAGTTTCACGTTGTAGTCGTGCAAAACAGCTCCATATAAATGTACAAAATTAAAAAAGTGTGCTGCACGTGCAAAGTTGTTATTGTTGTTGTTTGTTTGTTTGTTTTTGTTTTTTTTGCTAACTTAACCTATTGATTTTTTTTTGGCCGTTCTCGTTCCCGTCGCCGTTAAGCATTACACGATTTTATTATTTTTCTTGGGTAAATTATAAACATATTAACGAGAGCTTCGCTTTTCAAAGCCCTGGCTAAATCTATATATTAATACGGCTGATGGCCCTTATGTGTGCTTACGTCAGACGAGCAATTTCACCATCTTGCCTTGCATTACAAAATAACAGTTCCAAAACTGAGCTTGGTGGCTTGCCTGACGCAAACTTGCATAAGGGTAGGCTAACTAAACAGCCAACATTTCGCGAGGCCACCACTGGTTTTCCCGTGAAATGACGTCTGAGGAACAAGTGCAGAAATTCTATACTGATGACGTACCGCCACCCTTATTTGGGCTGAGTGCTTCTGATTGGTAGTTCCATCTGGTAAGTATCTTCAACCAATCAGAAGAGCTACCCAGATCTAGATAGGCAGTAAAAAGCAGACAGTATGGAATTTGTGCACTCTTTCCTCAGACGCCATTTCGTAGGGAAGCCAGTAGTGTCGCTCTAACTGTCGGCTGTTTTCTCAGGCTAGCATATTAGGTCTATTATATAACTAGTCTCCCTCGCAGCCGTTTTTTTTTTTTTTCGTCACGTAACGCTCCTCTCCAACGTTGCGCGACGAAACAATAAACTTCTGCTAGGGAGGCTATTATATAACTGACTTGATGGTCTCTAGCAGTTTTCTCTAAGGAAATTCAAACCTTACCACAATGCCTGCAGCCGTCACAGACAACTTTTTGTTGATTTGACACGAAGGCTCTTTGGTTCCGATGTGGAAAATCAGACAAAACAAGAGACCAATTCCAACCAAGATTAAAGACATGACCTGAAAAAAAGGAAGCAAGGAAAAAGTTTTATAACTTTGTAACGGATGAAGCTCAGTCACTTATGTCCATACTATTAATAATTACCGTGAAATCCACTGCATTTTCTGCTGTTAGATGTTCGCTATTGTCTTGCCCGAAAATAGCCCACGCCACAACTAAGGTTAGGATACCACTCAGGAAAGAAAAAGTGGTCCTTTAAAAAAAATAAAACGAAACAACGAACGATGAGTGTTGGAACATGTCAGTTTTGGATGTCTCAAGTAACTGAGTTCGTAGTACATGTTGCATGGCCGCTTTGATAAGAAATCTTAACAACTTTCAAACAGAAAAATTTTACAAACATTCACATTTCCCTCAAATACTGATATTCTTGATCACCATTTTTTTCCCCCCGAAAAATGCAAAATAAAGTTCCATCAATTTCGCTGTAACAGCCGCCATAAATTTATGTTGCAAGCATCTAAACAATAGGAAATAGCACCTCTTCTCGAATATCGATCGAGAACCTAAAACGTAAATAATGAGAAAGTGAAATTTGACTCTGCATTTTGCTATTTTCATGTTTGAGTCATTGAGAAAATGACAAACCTCCATGCGCTCATTTCTACAGCTTCGCTTTGATTTTTAGCGATGACAGGAATGATCGACAAATGTCCGACGTTCATAAGAGTTCCTCCAAAGGCTAGAATGGTGTTGAGCACCCCAATATATACCATCAGCTGCCATTGTCCTCCATCGCTCTGGCAGGGGAAGCAAGTGCTAAAAAACAAAGGTATAAAGACTACTTCCACGATATTTGCTATCAGAAGCCAGCTTTTTCTTCTCCCCAGCTTCCGGGACAGAACTGGAATATTCGTGCTGTCCACCAGAAAGGCGCAAAGAGGGGAGAATACCACGTGAGTCAGTTCCTTCTGAAGAATTAGCCAGCCAGCGTTAGCCGCAGAGAGGCCTAGAACTCTCATGAAGAAAACAAGTGTGAAGGAAAAAAGGAGCTGACGTAAGATGTCATCTATCACGTGACCCACTCCACAGCAAAAGCGTTGAATTGCCGGCGTCCCAGAATTCAAAGCTGGCTCCATAAAGTAACGACAGCACAATATCCGCATCTTAACTGACACCTGCAAATAACGTTAGGAAAACAAAGTATTGCTAATTGGTTTCGATATGGTTTTGTTCAGATTTAATGAGTACGTTTAATTAATAAATTGCAATTATTCGAAAGTAAGCGGACTCTTCACGTTCCTGTATAATAGGCAAGTCAAGTCGTTTCCAGCCACGTTGTTAACAGATTTATCTATTAGCTAAGATTTCTGCACCGGCATTTCTTGAGCCAGCTGCCCGAACCTTTTCTCTTCAATAGCGTTTTTTGCTAAGGACCAAACTTTGGCAGTCGGCTTCTTAATTGTTAAATTATATCGCGAATAAAGTGACGTGAGATAATTAGGCCATGTAATAACTTTAAAACAACAACCAAGCAGAAATTTGAACTTTCCGATCCAAAAAGGCGGCATATGTTGAATGGGTTTCAAGCACACAGAATTTTGCTTTGTTTTTTGTTTTCTTTTGTTTTGTTTCTTTGTTTGTTTTTTTTTTCACAATGGCAGGTCTAGATAGTGCAAAGATTTTTGTTCAGTTAACGTTGTCATGGTAATATCAATTTTACCTAAAACATTTTTACATTTTTACAAGGCCGATCAGTTAGTGCTGATATTTTTAAGGCCATCGGACCCGGATAAAATCGTTTTTAAGGCGATTGAAGAATACTCGGTATGGTCTCCGAAAAACTGTATCGAAACACCTTTTAAGTTTGACAAGTAATTGAGGAGTTTCGGTTTATCAACATGAAATGTTTCAGAGAAACAAATTTTAGCATCGATTTTATTATCAGATTAATTTTATACAATAACACATAATAACTTAACAAAACACATTTGTTTAGACTGACTGCAACTCTACGGAAAAAAGGTTCACCACTGCTTTAAGGATTATCACAGCCTCGTTCCCAGTCGTCCTCGGCGATTTCGGATGTGACGTCACCTGTCAAGCTTGTCGGGAAAATTCGCCCAGGACGCCTCGCGCTATCGCGCTCGGTTCCAAGCCTCCGCTGGTCACTCGGATAGCGCGAACAGGCCTGGGTACGAGGCTGGGATTATCACATTTTTTTTTTCTCTTATCCATTTTGCTTTCTTCTATTGCTTCTTTGTCCTTGAGCGACCATAGCCAACCAGACAGAACACTGACAACATTAACAAAAGACGGTATTCTTTCAGCGAAACTCTGTCTGCTCTGTTTGGGCTACATACACAATCAGTAACCCAACCACAAACTAATGAATTCCAAATTAATTAAAAATAGCACAAGAAAGTTCGTATATGTTTGTTTTCACATGACTTTCACTCTGTGTAAAATTGTTTCAAAGTAAGGCACTTCTGGCAGTCGAAGCAAGTGTGGTGAGACACACAAAAAGTTCTTTTCTTTTTTTTTTCCATTTTTTTTTTTTTGAAGATCGTTGCTGTTCTGTGTAATGACTATTAATACCTCGAGTGTGTGAAAAAGACTTTTCCGTGAAGCTAGGAAAAGGTAACTTAAATCATTGCTCAGTTTATAATTAGGAAGAGATTGCTTAACTGGACGATCATTGGGCTTTTAACAGATTAAACGATGGCGGTCACAGAAAATCGGGGAGAATTAGATCTGATGAATTAAAGTCTAACAACCGGGTTGGGTACTCACCATTAGAAACGAAGTCTATTACGTTAATCGTTCAAGTGTTAGTTTACTTCTCGGTTGACTTCTTTAAGCCTCTGAAGTTCAAACGAACGAACTTCGTGTCCAGCTATATATTAGCGTTTGGGAGAACAAATCGAGCCAACGGCTTCGCCCTTTATATATTGCCTTTTTTGTTTTGCTAGAGGAAGTCGTAATACCACCACATTCGAGTATGTTTTAAATGTTTTTTAGACTAAGAATGAGCTACTAGCTCAGTCTACGTGTCTACGTGTATTTATCATAACAATGACCAAGCAGCCATCCACGTACAGCTTTCCATTTTTAACAACACAAATGGACATCGGTGCTCTTTTAACTTAACCGGATTGTTAACCAAACACGTGCTTTCTTAAGTGCCATTGTGCTTTGTATTCTTAATCATTACCATTAACTCATCTCAAGCTCATATATATAGCTCCATATAGCTAACCTGTATCAAGATTAAATGATTCATCCACCCTGTTTATTTTTCTCGTTTCAAATTTACCAGTTTATTTTGCGGCGAGTCTATATATATAACATCAGTGGCACGCGCCTACCAGCTGTGTGCAGTGAACAGAAACTCGAAGCATCCGCTCTGACGGTAATTAGGAGGGTGGACCATTTGATTGAGTGTGGTTGACTTTAAAAACCATGCCGATTAAATCGTAGAAACTGTTTTTGATCCTGCTATTAAATATTCTATTTCAAATATTCTATTTAAAATTATAAGCGGTTATCCTGGGACCACACTGACGACATTAAACGGGTTTTATGGATGTGCTGTTTCATTCCTGCTGGAGACCGTTACTTTTCAGTCTTTTTATTTTTTTAAATCTTTATTTGAAAGTCGACTAATAATATCAATCGTCACGATAATTTCGAAATTTTTATTTTGCGCAATAACAATAACAATAAAATAAGTTCTTTCTTTTAACTCTCTTTGATTTTGGTTTCTCTTCATCCTGGTGAACACAGATCAGGACTGCCACCTTCACATGCACAATACTTTTGGGTGAAAGAAGGTTGGAATAACCTCAACGAACCATCGACATTTTAAAATTTCTACAAGACACTGTCGCACATATCAAGAACAAATTTAAAGAAACTTAAAACAAGCTTTGCAAGCCAATCTCATTTGGTAGCTACGGTGCTGTGCAGTTAAGGTGACAAAGAGCAGGCTTGAAAAACTCTGGATCGACCACTCGGCTATTATTAATAGATCTTGTGTGACGTTCTCATATTATGACAATTAGGTCTCTAACCATTCCCTCCAAAGACCAAGTTATGGAGGAAATACTTGTTAATTTGTTACTTTAACTCCTAAATCTGTGAACGAATTTACAAAAGTGTTTGGCTTTGTTTGAAAATCCTAGCGACTTAACAAGTTTAACAAATATATTGAAAGTTCCTTTTTTTTTTACTATTATTTTTGAATTTTTTGCATTGATCACCATAAGCTGGTGCCAGGGGTTAAAGGTTAAAATTGTGATACATTGGTGTTTAAAATTCCACGTGGAGTACAACAGAAAAAAGGGAGTGGCATTGGCCCGCAATGGCAGTTAAAAGTTCCTCAGGAAATTGTGATGAGTGCCAAGTTCCTATGTCCATGACGCAAGAGGCGCCGGATACATTACTCCACCCTGACGTATTAGGTGATTGTATGACAAGCCATTAAAATGGAAGCTGAATCTTTCACCGACCTCATAAACCGCCTGCAGAAATTACAGACACTTCAAGGTAAGAGTTTTTTAAAGCGACCATCTCTTCATATATTGTTGCTAGTATGTGCCAGTGTGCGTTTATTTTTCTCATTTTTGTTCAGTGTTTTTATCGAACTAACTATTATAATTAACATTGTTTGACCACGATAATCTCTGTATATTGGATGAACCGTTTTATAACAGTAGTAATTGAGGAACAAATGCATTCTGGAAGAGATAATTAACTCAATTTGAAGACATTTGATCAGCTACTGCTTGCCTAGAATCAACTAAAGCACCACACTACATTTTGGGTCGGGTCATTTGTAATGAGTTAACCGGCGATTTTTTTTTTCTTAATATATAATTAACTTTACCATCTCCTTTGCAAATTATTCGATCACTCACAGCCACACGTGAATCAAACCAAGGCATTAAGTAAGAGAAATCCAACTTTAATAGCCAGTCTATAGGTGTTTTTTCTCCATTTCCTGCACTAAGTAATTCCCTTGAAAATCGGATCTCCTATCCAGAATTTTTCAAACTTGACATATTACAGCCACATATAGAAAATTGAAAACCTTACTGTAACAAAAAGATGGGTTCCCGTAACTGTCTAGGAGTTTTTTTTTCCTAGTTACGTACAAAATGTTTCAATGACTTGTACAACGGTAAAAAGTCTTAGACTATAAATCTTACTTATTAATAAACGTTTTCAGCAGAGGGATATTGCAAAAAATGTTTAGGAAAAAAATGAACAGTTTTAACATTATCTTATACTTTTAATTTCTGTGCCTGGCTCCAAATGCGTAGTTGCACGTCATTCATATCTATCTTGAAATAACGCAACTTCTACTCTCCGGCTAGGTTTTTTTCTCCTTAAAACACGTATTTTTCTTGTAGCCGTAACGAGTAAAAAACACCAATTGCAACTGAAACGAGAAAGGTCACTCTTCTTGTGTCATCGCAAAAACAAGCAAAGAAACAAACAAAACGACGATTTCGGCTTCAAATGAACCTTTTGCGCAAAGAGATTGGGTCAAATTTCAAGACCAGTCAGGATGAGCAACCACAATCGCTATTAAAACCATCTTGCCCCTGTTGTGCAAACTGTGGATAGTGTTTTCAACCGGATAAATCACTATCCAGCGGATAAATATTAGGGAAACCAATTGCGTTATCCGCTGGATATTGATTTATCCGGTGGATAGCGCTCTGCACCTTTCGATCAACTGGGGCCTGGACTACGAAAGAGGCCTTTTGTTACCTCTGATCTCTTTAGGCGAGCGGCGAAAAATCCCGTCAGCTTCATGATGATAACGCAATGTTTTGCGCAGTGGGTGTCATGCCCATGGTCAGTGCAAAACAAGAGAACTATTTTTTTATATAACTTATGCCAAAAACGCGAAGAAATTAGCGACTCACCCTACCTCAGTTTAAACGCCCTTTTGAAGTCATAGGTTATAAAGATATAAAATATTGCAAGAGTTTTTTTTTGTCTATGAATCCCCTATCACGCATCCAGATTCTCAATTTCATATATATATATATATCAAGGAATGGTTATAAATTTAGTTTTAAGTTCATCATGTGACAGTGAAACCTAGCAGGTTTTTATTATATCTCTCCTTGAATGAATTTTAACTCATAATAAT